GCCTAATTAATACTAAAGTATAAAATTAAATCCTAAATGCAAAATAAATACGTATTTTTGTATTTTGTAAAAATTAACACGCACAAAATAACAATTATCGGAAGATGACACCAAAACGCACAAAAACTGTAAAAATAAAGAAATATTATTTTGTTTGGGATTTTGGGAATTATTCATATATAAGGCAAAAGTCACGTGCTCACAATGAATGCCAAAGAGACGGTGGAATCTCAAAGAAGAATGAAATGACTCTCATCACCATTTTGGAAATAGATATTTTCGATGTGCGAGGTATTAATTTCATGGGTCTATTTGTTAGCGCTTGTGGGAACATCTACATTCTAGTCGCGGTGGATTATGTATCTAAATGGGTCGAGGCTGTTGCTTTGTCAAACAATGAAGAAAGGAGTGTGGTGACATTCTTGAAAAAGAATGTCTTTACGAGGTTTGGTACCCCAAGGGCTATTATTAGTGATGGGGGTTCGCATTTTTGCAACAGGGCTTTTGATACCTTACTCACAAAGTATGGTGTCACTCACAAAGTATCGACCCCCTACCATCCTCAAGCAAGCGGACAAGTTGAAGTCACCAACCGGGAGATCAAGAGTATTTTGTCAAAGACAGTGAATCCCAGTCGGACGAATTGGTCAAGAAAACTTGATGATGCTCTTTGGGCTTATAGAACGGCCTACAAAATACCGATCGGGATGTCTCCAAACCGGTTAGTGTTCGGGAAGGCGTGTCAACTTCTGGTGGAACTTGAGCATAAAGCCGTGTGGACTTTGAAGAAGTTGAACCTTGAGTGGGATATCATCACAAACCTAAGAGTGGCACAATTGAATGAGCTAGATGAATTTTAGTATCATGCTTACACAAGCTCATCCATTTACAAGGAGAAGATGAAGTACCTTCATGACAAGTACATACACAACAAGGAGTTTAAAGAGGGTGATCTTGTGCTATTGTTCAATTCCCGTTACGGATGTTTCCAGGAAAGTTGAAGTCAAAATGGAGTGGCCCATTTGAAGTGGTGAATGTAATCCCCTTTGGTGCTCTAGATTTGAAAAATAAGAACAATGAGGTGTTTATAGTCAATGGGCACCAAGTTAAACATTATCTTGGCAAGGTTGATGATGGACATATTGTGGCGGTTCTTCATTTCAAATGATTGGTAATCTGCATCGTGCCACGATGTTAAATCAGGCGCTTCTTGGGAGGCAACCCATGTGTCTTTTTCTTTTTCTTTTCTTCTTCACTAGATAGGCTTTATTTTGTTCTAACTAGTTTTGAAGTGTATGAAGGAATAGGTGTGCATTGCAGGGACTATACCTGGAAAAATTTGGCCAAGTGTTGAAATTATGCGGACTGCACAAAAATATTGCAAACGCAGAGAAGGGTCTGCGACCGCACAATTCTTTGTGCGAACGCACAACTACAGATCCAAAATCACCAACTCTCTGAAGTTGGAATTTGCAGGAAAGTGGCCAAAATGCGGCCACACACAAAAGTATGCGGCCGCACTCATTTTTGTGTGGACCGCAGAGCTCAATTCATGTACAGGTAAAGAGTGCAGGCCGCACTCAAAATTGTGCCGCCACGCTCAGGTAATTTTTGGACCTGACTAGGTCAAAGTATAAATAGGGATTTTCACAACTATTCACACTTTACGCTCTCTGAACTCCCAAGCACTAGAAAGAACTGTGCATCCCAAAAATATTTCACAAATCACACTCAATTCATCAAGTTAGATTCTCACCTGTATCATCCACTACTAGTATGTTTAATCCATGTTAGATATTTATTCATTTTTATTAATTTTTGTTTTTATTTTCTTTGATTAGTTTAGTTATTTTAAGGCCTAAAAATGTCAAATATTCTTAATATGTGCTTCAAAATCATGTGGGTAGCTTCGTATATGTTCATTAGGGACTGGGTAGATCACTAATCTTGTCAATTTGTGAAAACCATGTCTAATTTGTGAAAAATTGCATGAACCCTAAAGTACTTCCGCGTAAAATTCCAATTCTGCGGCCGTACAATTTTTTTTGCAGTCAGCAAGTCTTAAAAGTTAGGGAAAAGTATGAGTTGAAAAGTGCAGACCGCACTCAATAATTTTGCGGTCCGCACAATAGTGTGTGTGACCGCAGGGTTAAAGATCAGAGAACCCAGTACTCTGAACCTGGGGTTGTGTGGCCGCACTCAAAATTTTGCGGTCCGCATTCTTGGATGTGCGATCGCACTGTGAAATTGTGCGGTCCACACTTCGTAGTCTGCGGCCGCACTCACTTTTGTGTGGTGCGCACTGCCTCTTCTGAGTCTATTTTCCTGCAACTGTCATGCATACACATGTGTTCACTGTGAACTTCAAATCTAACTGATCCCTATTGCTATGTGTGGAGACAATGGATTACATAGATGGGGTGATACATCAAAAGGGAGGGCTGAACCCTCCCGAGGCCGAGGCAAGAGTAACCTACCACTTTCCATACAAAGAGCAATAATCAAGAAGGTTGCGGCCAACAAAGTCCTAGAATCTTCAGACACTAGTGAATATGCCCCGTGTAGGGAAGCTTCATAGGCCTACTCCGTACAAGTATTGCCGGAAGCCCAATCACAACAAGTTCAAGGGAGATACCAACTCCGCGAGGAATCCTCTACCTCAGCAAGTTCTTCTAAGGGTTCAAATGCCAGTAGCCAGGGTTCAGAACCCTCCTCTACACACACTCCTCCTGCACTAATCGATTTAGATGATGATGATGATGATATCCTGGATGATGGGAGAGGAGGTGACACTCGAGTGGGAGGACTTGAGATGTCGGGAAGGAAAGAGACGTGGGAAGACAGATTTGTCAGCTTAACAACCTTTAACAAGTTCAGAGAGTGGTGGCCCTAGAGATTGCTCACTCTTGAGCGGCAGTTCTTGATGAAGGATTTGGATATTCACAATCCAAACGTCCTTAAACTATTCCAGGAGTGAAAGGGATGCAAATGGTTCACCCACAGTGTCATCAATGCAAATGAGCACTTGGTTAAAGAATTTTATGCCAATGTGGCTCTATATGCGGTGAAATCGGAGGGTCCAATTTATCATTATCAAAGAACCTCGGAAGACCATCTCGAAGTCTCGAGGCTACAAGGTCATGATCGAGTCTCCTTCCTCGAGGTTCGCCGACACTCGATCTTAGGATAATGTTGAACACGACAACGATAGAAATGGGGAGTTCCCGAGGAACGTGGCTAGGACTGACAGAGCCTAGAGAGCTACTCTAAAACCCAAATCAGGGTGCCATCTAGTTGTCACATCTCCATATCTTTGTACTTAATGCTTGTTGTACTATGATAGGATTCCCCTCCTATATAAAGGGGATCCTTGCCACTTTGTAAGGGTTGTTGCTTCAGTTACTCTACACGCAATATAAAGAACATTCTATTTGCTCTAACATATTCTCTTGATATTATTACTTTCATTTATTATCTTCATATTTGTTCATCATTTATTGCTTATCATTGGCCATAAAGAGTCTCCGTTAATTTTATTATAACTGTTAGTCGCATAGCAATTGCCTTTGACATCTCGTAGTCGAGGTCCGGGATCACCCTCGAGGCCCCGAATCGATGAGCTCGAGGCCCCGAATAACTTGCCTATTGGTTTGATTATAGCTCACTCCTTAACTCTACTTTGCCTCTAAGTCTCGCATATCTAAGCATCAACTGCTTAACAAACTAGCATAAAAATAGATCACGTATTTTTAGAGTTCCATCAACAAATTTAATTGTTATTACCATTTTCACGGTAAACAGTTTGGCGCCCACCGTGGGGCTAAAAATAATAGTGATTATTTTCTTGTTGGTTTCGTCCTATAGTGCAAGTTATCTTTCTCGCTTTTTCTTGTCCAAGATCTTCGATTTCAGGTAAAAATGTCTAACTCAGTGAATGGAGGTGAAAACAACAATCTTGAGGACTACGAAGAGAACGGTGTGGTTGTTCCAGGTGTTGGTGTGCCACTACGAAACCATGGGGACGCACCAGACCCAATTCCCATAGATGCGGTCTCGTGCGATGCTCAACACATCGACGTTAGATTGCACACCAACATGAGTGTGCACCAAGAAGATCGACAATAAGCTCAGGAAACCCTGGCAAGGGAAGAACAGAAGGTTAGCCTTCACATTATTTTGAAATGTTGCAGGCACAACAACTGGCTATCGCTTAGCTGCAAAATCACCAGAAAATTCCTAGCACTGTAGCATCGGGGACAGCTCCCCCAGCCGAATAGGCACTGGAGAGATCGAGCAATAACGGATCAATGACCTATTCCGTCATCGTAAAAATGATCGAGGACCTTACCAGAAGGAACGAGTCAGGCAAGAAATTAATAGAAGCTATCGACAAGAAGGTCGAGACCTACAACTCCAGGGTCGACCAAATTTCGGGCGCACCCCCGGTCCTGAAAGGTGTGGATTCGAAGAAGTTTGTATTAAGGCCGTTCCTAGAGGAAACGGCTCCGAAACCCATTCCAAAGAAGTTCAGAATGCCAAAACTCCCAAAATACAATGGGACCTTAGACCCCAACGAGCACATTACTGCTTACACTTGCGCAGTGAAGGGAAACGACATAAAGGACGACGGGATCGAGTCCGTCTTACTAAAAATGTTCGGGGAAACACTCTTGAAGGGGGCCATAATGTGGATCACAACCTAGCTCCTAACTCCATAGATTCTTTTGCAATGCTAGAAGACTCCTTCATAAAAGCACATGCCAGTGCCATCAAAGTAGCAACGAGGAAATCTGATGTGTTCAAAATCAAACAGAGAGAGAACGAAATGCTGCGAGAGTTCGTGTCTTGCTTCCAAATGGAACGGATGGAGCTACTGCCAGTCTCTAATGACTGGGCAGTGCAGACTTTCACTCAAGGTCTGAATGAACGAATCACGATGGCTTCAAAATAGTTGAAACATAATTTGATTGAATATCCCGTAGTGACCTAGTCGGACGTCCACACCCAATACCAGTCGAAGATCAGGGCCGAAGACAACTAGCTGGGAGCCCCTTTGAGCTCAGTATACCCAAGCAGGCTTCCAATGAAGGAACCAAAGCCAAATAAAGAAAGGTATCAGCCATACACCAAGGATAGGAGGAACTCCCCAAGGCGTAACCCACCTCGCAACGACTGAGGACAAGATCCTCGGGGACTCATCAATAGAGCCAGATTCGATAGGAACTCAGGGCCAACATGGCACCTCACTTATCGAAATACAACTTCAGTTTCGATGTATTAGATATCGTGTTCACCATTAGTAAAATCAGAGACGCCAGGTGGCCCAGGCCTATACAATTAGATCCTTCCCAAAGGAATCATAATTTAGTGTGCGAGTTTCACAACACGCACGGCCACAAGACCGAGGATTTCCACCAACTCCGAAAAGAGGTAGCTCGACTACTTAACAAAGGTCACCTCGGGGAATTCCTTATCGACCGAGCCACAAATCGATTCTGAGAAAGACAGGCGGCCAAGAGAAATGAAGCAAACGAGCCACAACACATCATCCACATGATCTTGGGAGGCGTCGATGCCCCACAGGAATCCGTGATGAGAAGGACAAAAATATACATCGCTAGAGAAAAGCAAACCCAGGGTTATATACTCGTGGATGCCCTCGCATTCAGCTAAGAAGACACCGAGACCTTGTCTCAACCTCACAATGATGCACTGGTAATATATTTCCTTGTAAATGCTTTTCAAATAAAATGTGTACTCGTGGATCCAGGTAGCTCGGCCAATATTATCAGGTCGAGTGTGATAGAGCAGCTCAGAATGCTTGACCAAATCATGCTCGCCACTCGAGTCCTCAATGGATTCAATATGGCAAGTTAAACGACGAAAGGAGAAATCACCCTCCCAGTCACCGTGGCCGGCATAACCCAAAATGTTAAATTCCATGTCATCGAAGGAGACATGAGATATAATGCTTTGTTCCGATGGCCGTAGATACATTGCATAAGAGCAGTACCATTCGCATTCCACCAAATGATGAAATTCCCGACAAAGGATAGGATTAAAGCTATCTACGAGGAATAACATGCAGAGAGGGAAATGTCCGCGGTGCACGATATGGCACCAGCACCAATACCTCCACTCGCAAAAGAGTCGAAGGGTAATCAAACTACACCTTCGAGTAAGACCAACTAAACAAAGCAAAGGACTGTACCGCATCCTCATCTTGAGCAGCTAGGTTATATCGGTCCTCGAAACATCGCCAACACATCCCACACTAAGGTAGAACCATCTCCTTTTTCATTTCATGTTTCATACTAACCCTTATGCAGGTGCCCGTCTGAAGCAGTCAAAGTGCTAACCCAACTTGGAGACCTTAAGGTCTTAAAGCATCCGTTGCACTCTTTTCCTTCGATCGAGTTTTAATCCCGAAAGGGTTTTACTGGCAAGGTTTTTAACGAGGCAACATCCGCATGCTACCTAAGGGAGACTCAAAAAGTATTCGAGGCTTCTTTCGCAATCAACCTCGAACACTGGGGAGCATCCCCCCTAGAAGGTCATCTGCTCAGAAAAGCCAAGAAACGCCAAATGGGGTCCTAATAGGAAAATGATATACCGGGCCAAAAGGTCGAACGAACCGTATCCATATAGTCGGGCCCCCGACGGCAAAAACATGTACACCTGTACCACATAATTGAAGAATATCTTTTATCAAAGCATCTCACGCTCCAAAAGTAGCTCAGTAGTGTCATGACCCAAACCGATGGGCCACGACGGGCACCCGGTACCTTACTCATTCGAGTACCAACATAATGTATCTTTTTTATTACATTATCATATACATGTGACATACGGGCCTAATAGGCCAACATGATCTTTTATAAACTTAAGTCATAGGCTGACAAGATCGCACAATCTTTCACGTACACGACATATGTCTACAAGCCTCTAAGAGTACATAAATGTCATAAAGGTCGGGAGAGTCCCGCCATACCAAAAAATACACAACTAAATCTTACTAACCGAACAAGCATCTCCGAAACAAATGGAGCACACCAACATCTTCCGCTGAGCTAATAGCCTACTTGGAAGGCTTTCAACCTGTCTATCGGGTGCGGACATGAAACGTAGCGTCCCCTGGGAAAATGGGACGTCAATACGAAATAATGTACCGNATATTATTGATCTGTCGTAGTAGGCTCGCTTATAGGTGCTCGGCCATACTAGGCTCAGTATCTTGACCAACTAGGCTCGCTCATAAGTGCTCGGCTATAGTAAGATCGCCATATAACTTACCATCTGATTAGAGGTTGCCTAATAGGCGCCTGTCCATCGATTATAGCTCGATGGTAATGAAAATAATTTAATATTGTATATATAAATTCTCTGCTCTCTTGACTGGAATAAGAAAAAGCTTAGTTGAATATGAAGTCCCGGTAAGGAGAATATTGTAACTTACAAAACTAGGAAAATATACGCAATTTGCGAGACTAGCAAAATATATGTAAATTCCGGGATATGAATTTTTCTTGATGCCTTGTTATCAAACTTGTGTAATGACGAGATCATTCCAAAATGAAAGAAGAGCGTAGCCTTACCATACCTGAACTGATTCTCTTTTGCGAAAACATGTAACAGCGGATCGAAGTAGGGAAAATTCGTATGATATTCTTGGGAAAGATTGTACCGGGCTTCTTTGAATTAGCATATCATGTTGGACCTTGTAGTATTTCATAGAATTTCACATTTGGACATTGTAACAATTCAGAGAGCTTTCACGTTTGGACATTGTAGATTTTCAAAGGCTTTAACGTTTGTACATTGTAAAGTTTCGAAGGCTTTAACGTTTGGACATTGTAAGATTCAGAGAGCTTTCATGTTTGCTGTGTAAGGTTTTAGACTTTGGTTAATTTTGAGAGTGGAAAGTTGGTTTTGTATTCAAGGTCTTTAGGAATTAATACATAAGGTATTTAGAATGAGATGTGTCTTGAATTAGGTTGTCACCTACTCTTAAATGAGTCTTAGTCATTTGATCAGATTGTGGCTTGTTGCCACATCACTCTTCCTATCTTTATCCAAAGTTTTTTTAATTAATTTAATTAGGTAATATCCCGCTATCCGGTAATTAATCGATTACCCCTATAATTAAGAAATATCTCAAATTACTTAAAATTCTACTTATTTTTAATACACTTTATATATATCTCACTATTATGGTCATATGGTACTTTGTATGGTATTAGTCCGTAAATATCGGGTGTTAATGCTCAGCCCGTATTTTATCCTCACATGCCAAACTTGGACAAAAATTCATTTTTTTGACTTGCTTCCCCTTTCACCTTCACGAATTTACTTATCACTTGTGAAATAGCATAATCCTTATAATCTCCAAATAATCTTTTCCTTGGACTGATGCCAATTACCTTACGACAAATTCAACGTACAATACTATAGGGTGCAACATCGTCATAATTTAATATTACAAAGAGTAACATCGTCGTAATATAATACTGCGGTACGTAATATCGACGTAATATTGCGGGGCATAACATCATTCCCCCCTTTGGAACATTTATCCTCGAATGTTGACTGATGCTCTTATCATTCTCCTAACCTATAGGCCTTTATTACTTGTCTTGCCATCTATGCGACTGTTTTGTGAATGAATCCTAGAGGCCAAGGCATTCCCCCCTTTAAGCCTCTTTCTCGGACCACGACTTGTATTCAGAATCCTTCTAATCTCGTCACTATTTCTACCTTCCATCATACAGCCTTTACAACTCTAACTTTGTATGTGCGCCTGACTCTCTTCTTCTCTTCCAGCTTTTAGCCAATCTCTAGGCTTCATTTTGTGAACATCTACAAAATTATGTCAAGTTGTCCCACTGAGTGTCATTAGCTTTACTACATCTAAGTAGGCCATACTATACCAAAATTCTTACTTCGATTTATCGTTACTGAGGTCTGCTACCGAACTCCAGGCTACTCCCGTTGCTTATCCTAAATGCAAAAAGCTAAATCCTTTAACATTTCTTCATTACTATTCATCTTAAGACTAATGGCCCAATCTCATCCTGTACTTTGAGACTTTTACCCATCCATTGTTGATTCGCCTTACATTTTTAATTTCATACAATCCAGGATATTATTTACCATAAAAATGGTAACAACAATTAAATTTGTAAATTAGATTCTAAAAATACGTGATCTATTCCCGAGCTAGTTTTTAGAGCAGTTGATGCTAATAATATGGAGTTTAAGGATTAAATACAAGCTAAAATGGGATGATAATCGAACCACAGGGCCTGCTGCCTGGACGTAGGTCTGATCGATGAAGGACCTCAAGGTCGACGTTGGAGTCGAACTCGAGCTATCAAGGATAGTCGGGGATGGGATAACAGTTGAAGATATAATTAAACAAGGCTCTTTATGGCCAATACTAAGCTATATGACAAAGAACAAGTAAGAAAGTGATAAATCTCGAGGTCACTTTGGGTCAATATCACGTGACAAACAAAGAATAGACAAAAAGATAGCAAAGCTAAATGACTTCTAGCCAGTGAGGACAAGAGAATTAGAGAGGAGAATGAGAGAGAGAAGATATTATTGTACTTTTGTAGAATAGTTGGAGCTTTGCCTTTACAAGGTGTTAATGACTCCCCTTTTATAGTAAAGGGGGGAATCCAATCTTAGTACAAGATACGTTGTGTGATGCAGGAAATAGGATGGGACAACTGACTAACTCCACGATGAGTACGTGTGCCGATACCGACCTGCTTGAATAATCCTGATCGACCCTGGGTGAATTCTTTGAGAGATACCTACATTCGGTGAGGCTTTGGCCGACATTACCCTTGGAGCAGTGCCACTCGATCTTGCAGGAAGTGACCGGCCTGAGATCTCGGGCTCCCAAATCGCCCTTCGAAGTGTTCTGTTGAGGAGAAATCAGTCTCCCAGATTTTACCGTGTACAGATAGTCTACACGTTTCTTAGAGGAAAGTGATAAGAAATGATTTTGACACCCCATTTCTCGATCCCCATAACGGCATCGCACTGATGGTGCAGCCCCCCTTTTTACAGGTGTCGAGGCATTCTGCCTTCCCGCTTCTTTAGGATTACCTGAAATGTTGTGATTTTTCGATCTTTTGTTAATATCGATTCAGCTTCTATGGACGGATTAATTGCGCCTGCTGTTACGCCTTCCGAGGGCGGTAATAGTGTCGTCGGTTACTTTGCTCTCCCTATAAATGGGGCTTTTCATGGTTGGCCTTTTATCCAAATTTCCTTTGGTATCCATCTTTCCTTCCTTTCCCGCTATCTTGAATTTCTGCCATCTTGTCGTGTCTGGAGCATGTGGCCTCAAGATATTATGCTGTGTGTACTGTGGCCCAATGCTCGGTTCTCTTTCGATAGGGAGAAGCTGTGCCGATGTGATGACGTTGTTATTATTGTTGTTGTTGTTGTTGATGTCGTTGGCCCGGGGTGATGAGGTAGAGGGTTGATTTCCTCCACCCTAGGGGGCACTTTGGATTATGCACCGCTGCTCAAGAGGGGGCTCAGATTATTAACCGCTGCTCACCCTCTTCCCTCGTCTTGGCATGTTATATCCCTTTTCGATTCAAGGGGGTGTATCGGCAGTCTCTGCCGGCTGTTGCCTTCTGGGCCGAGGCAACGTATCAGGAAGTGGCTTCAAAATGGCAGTACTGGCGGAGCTCGTACTAGCCAAATTTTTCACCCAGCCATTTCTCACGTTCTTCCGGCTTTTCCTTCGTCATTTTGCTCCTCTCCCCTGCCTTCCTTTTGAAGATGACATTCCGGGAGGCTTGGGATACGGTCCTTGAGAGGGTCGGCCTTTTGGAAGATATTGTCTTTGAGGTCATATGCCTGATAGGATGACGACGGAGACACAACATGAATAGGCTAGATCTTTAGGCTTCTCCTGTATGCGTATCACTTGTACTTCTTCACTTTTTCATAAGGATTCTCTGCGAGCTTTTGTAATCATATGTAATGTAACTATATGTAACGACCCCTCGAGGGTCGTTGGAAGAAAACACTTGTATAAATACAAAGATATTTTATTGATTTCTTCCTTAGATACTTGCTGTATTTCTTTATATTTTTGGCGACTTCGAGTGCATGATCTTGTTTCGTCGCCTGTGTCATTTGGCTTTCAGTATTTTCTCCGGTCTTTGATGAAACAACTTCTCATGGGGTCTTTTGTGATATCGAACTAGACCCGAATTAGGCCAATAACCTTGGGCCGCCGGGACCCTTACCCTTCGTGAAGGCGTGGATAACATCTTCGGGCCCCATAATGGCCTTTGAGAAGAGGCTTTCCAGAGGATTCGCGATCTCGGGATGCCGGTGACTTCCTGGAAGTAATCTGTGAATGGAGGCATAGCCGTGTCTTGGGCCACCCTGGGCATTACCCGGAATCTGTTTTGCCTGGGCGTTTGTTAGGGACGCCCATTTCTTTGTAAACTGGCCTTCTTTGGCGGAGGCTTCTTAAGGCTGAATGCCAATTTGGTAAAGGCATTGTTGGTCTGCTGGGGCTCTACTTTACTATGGCGGAGGTATTCGGGGTTGAGCATTACCTCAAAATCGGAGGCGGTGCTGATGATCGGTGTCGTTGATTGGCGTTGAGTCATTCCGTCCCTTTTCGTATTGAGTCGTGAGGTTGCTTCCGCTTCCCGGGGGTCCTCGGGATTCACTGATATTGTGATGCTGGCGGGTCATACCCTTAACAGCTGCTTATTTGGGGGATAGCAATGACCGGGCATGGCGGTAGATGAGAAACGTGCTTCATAATCATGAAAGAGCTTTTATCAGGATGAGACGGGCCCGAGCTTCTGAGGAGAGTGCATCATTCGAGCCTGGTATTTTCAAAGTCTTTAGTTCCAGAGCAGCGGTTCCTTTGGCCAACAAGGATTGGGCTATCAGGAGGATGTTCGGTCATCGAGTAGGTTTTTTGGCTTCACTTTGTTTTAGAACGATCCCTTTGTATCTCGGGTCTTTGAGCTGCTCCGTCAAGGGGCTATACTTTGGGGGGAACTGAAGTACCAAAGTAAAGGCTTTGAGCTTTGATCTGAATGGATATAATTGTAAAACTGTAGCTTGATTTCTCAAAAGTCCGAATTAGGAATAACCGGTGCCTGGACTGGCATAGTACTGAGCTTGGACCTAGGATGATGAAGGAGTGGCGACTTGTTGCCGATGATTGAGCCAGGTTGGAGCGGGCTTTCGAGGAACACGTTTGTCGTAGATCTTCGGGACAGGAGTTTGAAGAGACCCATGCCCAGGGTGCCGTACTTCTAGAAGGATTTGCTTGAGTGAAGGTAGTCGGGTGCGATACCTAGTTTTATTGTCGATGCCACGAAGAANTATAATGAGAGAAATCTTGAAGTTTACCTCATTTGTATCTCTTCCAATGTTGCCTTTGATCCGGTGGGCTGGCTTCCGTGTTTTGGCGGGATCTTCGTTGGTTTGGAATCAATTAGGCATGCCCGGGAACTTTCAAGCGCAACCCTTGCTGCGAGTAGGTGTTGAGAATTCTACGTGTTTCCCAGCTATTTTTGGCTCGGTATCTGAGTCGGGCCTTTATTTGAGCTTGCCTGCCCTTTGTTCTTTTGTGCCCATGCAGGCGAATGGTGATTGTCTTCACTTTTTGCCCTTAGGTATTTTGTTGTTTCATCTAAAGGACAAGAAGGATGAGCTGGAACAACTCTGAGGCGAGTTTTGCAAAACCAACCGTGAATTTCTCGAGCCGCGAACGCATGTGAATGCCCATTCTGAGGCCAAAGAGTGGGCTCATGCCAGGGCTTCCGCTCTCGAGGCGCAAATTTAGGCTGCCCGTACGAATTATTCTATTTGGGCGAAGATGATTATGATACTCTTGTCCGAGCTTTCAAGGGCAAAAACTGAGGTGGTGAATGTCCGGGTCGAGGTGGTGACGAATAACACCAAGGCGGAGACAGAAAATGGCGGTTTATTCGAGGAGTGCTGCCGTTGCTAAAGCTGAATTATAGAAGACCCTCGATCATGTCGATAACGGCAAGGACTATGTGAGGGGTAGATCCCGTAGGGAAATCCTTGAGTAGATTCATGCCAGGGACTTTTATCTCTCGGGGGAGATCGAGCAAGCCAGAGGAGAGGGGTACGATGCCAAGTTCCTATGGTCCGATGTGGAGGATGATGAGGAGGAGACTGCCAGAACCTATCCTTTCCAGCTGCCCCCTCCTGCTGGAAAAAAGTGGAAGGATCGTTCCATGCCTTCTTTGTTATGTATATACATAGCTTTCATTATATGATGCAGGCTGAGGTTGCGCTTCGTTTTCAATATGTAGCAATAAGAGGGGAAACCCCGCAACTTGTATCTTTTGTATTTCTACTCGTTGGAGTTTAAAATTGGGTTGATTTGATCCCAGATTTTCCCTTAAGCTTGCGCGTTTTAACCGTCTTAGGGTTTAGTCTTTGAGTCGGACCTGACTCGAGCTTAATTTACCTTTGAGTTTTGCGTTTATCTGAGTTAGCGATGGTGGCATTTATGTCGTGCCCTTAGGCATATTGTAGTTTAGCCGTTTTGGGTCCAGTCTTCGAGTTGCATTGCAATTTGAGCTTTAATTGACCCTTAAGTTCTTTCGTGCCTGCATGGGCGGATGGCGATGGCCTTTTGTGCTTGGGGTCGAAGCGACCTTACAAGTGGGTGGCCCGGAGGCTCACTCGGCTGGCGATGGCGGCATTTATGCCGTGCCCGTAGGCATATTGTGGTTTAGCTATTTCAGGTCTAGTCTCCGAGTCGCGTGGCGATTGGAGCTTCAATTGACCCTTTAGCTCTTTCCTACCTACATGGGCAGATGGCGATGGCCTTTCGTGCTTCGGGTCGAAGCAACCATATAGGTGGGTAGCCAGGAGGCTCACTCGGCTGGTGATGGCAGCATTTATATCGTGCCCTTAGGCATATTGTTGCTTAGCTATTTCAGGTCTATTCTCCAAGTCGCGTGGCAATTCGAGCTTCAATTGACCCTTTAGCTCTTTCCTGCCTGCATGGGCGGATGGAGATGGCCTTTCGTGCTTTGGGTCGAAGCAACCTTACAGGTGGGTGGCCCAGAGGCTCACTCGGCTGGTGATGGAGGTATTTATGCCGTGCCCTTAGGCATATTGTAATTTTAGGCATTTCATGTCCAGTCTCCGAGTCGCGTTGCGATTCGAGCTTTAATTGACCCCTAAGTTCTCTTCCGCCTGCATGGGTGAATGGCGATGGCCTTTCCATATGTGGCCTGGAGGCTTTCATAGTTAACTATTTTGGATCCGGTCTCCGAATCGAGTTACGATTCGAGCTCATTTTAATCCTCAAGTTGTCAATTTGTTTAGCTAGCGACAATGGCTCTTACATTGTTTTGGTCATTGAGACCTTTCGATATGTGGCCCGTAGACTTGCTTAGCTGGCGACAATGGCTCTTCGCTATTTTTTCCCGTGGTCTTTTTGTAGGCTTTGTTTTCCGCTCATTAAGGTCTTCTGAAAGATTTTTGCCTGACCCGTCATCGGTTCTAGAGAACCTCGTTTTCAAGTCGTTATCGGCGATATTTGAGCACCTCGAAAGGTTCATAGCTCATAGGATGAGTAGGTCGAAGCATCTGTGATTTGGAGCTGACATGGTCGAAGCTCGTTTTTGCCTGTTGAGGGAAGCCTGTTTTAACATGTTCTTTCCAAAGTATATTCAAAGTAGTGGCCTACAATTTTTGTTTAGCGACGGTCGGGCGTCCCCGAGTCGCGTTAATTTGGCTGTATCAGCCGTTTTGACCATAGTCATATGCGTTTGGTCGTAGCCATTTTTGGTTCCGAGTGACAGTTCAGGCGTCTACACCGAGGGTATTCCCTTTTGGATTTCTTACAAATGCGACGTATAGCCTGAACTTCGGAATTTTCATACATGTTGAGGTCTTACAGCTTTTGTTGCAATGTAGAGTAGACCTGGTCATGCCGAGTCTGCCCGCTAGGGG